TAAAGCATCACCTTGTTTTGATCATATGGAAAACGAATGGAAGTGTAGGAACCTCAGAGGAATGAGGGTAAAATGCTAAAGGTCCAGAGATTATGGAAACAGACTCGAGTTCACTTCCTCACTAAAAGTATTCACTATGTAGTAAAGAACATACCCACACGCTTGTTTATGCTTTTCTCTTCCTTGTCATATTAACGCACTAACTTACATGGTAGAACAATATACCTCATATGTTACATATATTGTTAGCTCATGCTTGCTAGGTATGTGTTGGGTAAACAGCCTGAGGTACCAGATTATTGCTCTAAGTGTTACAGGAAAAGAAACACTGATATTAAGAGACTTTTCACAACACTAAACTAAGTTAAAGATGGGGTCAGAACTCAAGCCGAAGCTGTGCGAGCTGAAAAATGATTCCTTTTTATTCCCTTTCCCAAATCAGTATAGGACTAAGGGCATCAGACCGCCATTCAAATGTGCTATCTTAACGGGAGAAGAAAGGCACGTGGACTCTGCCCATGATCTTATCTCATCTGACAGGATTCAGTGACAGTCTGAAGTCAGCTCATGTGAACTGTTTTATCTAGCTAAAGTAATGAATGTATAGGATTTACTAAATATGTAATGGAAGTATTTGGATAGCCAGGTGTATGCTGCTTAATTCTTCAGTTACGGATGACACTCTTCCTATCAGTGACACTACCACAGTGGCACTTTTCTGTGACCTATGGAAACCCATTGGGGAAAGCTATCTCTTTGGCCTGGGTGGAGACCTCACTTTCCAGGCTACTAAAATTATAAAGAATTAATGTTTGGTCTGGTCAATCATCTAGCCAAAGGATCACCCCTTGGGAAGTGGGTTCACCTTAAGCCATGCTCAAGGGAGACAATGAATAATGAGCCCGTTAGTGAGGTAAAAGTGCTGTTACTTCCCAGAATTGTCACCCCTCATATAGAGCTGCAGACACTTTCCCACGTCTGTCTGAATTACTCAGAAAAGCACAACTTTTCCTTCTCCTCTTCATGTCTCTTTTCTAAATGTGCTCTTCCTAATGCTTTCCCTTTATTCTTTCTCTGCAGTGCCCATCTCTACCACGCAAGTGTTTGTCTGCTAGGTGGGTGACCTCCATGCAGAACCAACGCAATGCCATGGCTTTCTCTGTTCTTCATAGTCCTCTTCCCTGTAGCTAGTGAGACTTACAACTTGCTGCCCTGGATTTTTTTCTCTTAAGATACAATCAAGTTTTCTTCCATTTTGAGCCCATTCTTAAATTCTTGTATTAGCAAGGCTAAGAACTCTACATAAGGACCTCGGTTTCCCAGGAAACATGTTGTCACCTCACTGGAATTCCCCAAAATTTCTGATAACATCAAAAGAAAATATTATGTAGACTAAAATCTACAACAATGTTTTCAATGGAGCATGAACTAAGCAGATTGAATTGGCCAAACCAACTAGCATTTTTGTGTATTCCTATTCAAGTCATCATTTGGCTGTAGGATGTAATTATTGACAAGAGTAAAAATTCTCCTCGGGACATTTCTTTATGAGGAAATTTCATTTTGGGGGAAGTACATGCCTATTTTATGAGTCACATTTATTCAAATAAGAATCATAGTTACTCTGTTGAGATATAACTTTTCATCCCAAAGAGATGACATAGATCCCGATATTTGCTCCTTCAAGGCTCTATCCTTAGAGCTATGCTTAAATCTATGTTTTCCTGCAGGTCTGTGAATATATGATTGAAGTGAAAAACAAATTTTATTTGCAATAGTAATATATCATTGAGTATGATTTTGATTGAAAAATATGATCTCTCTGATTTGGGATAGTATATGTGCCTGTCTATCTTCTGGGTTTGGGTGTAGGTGTTTGCACTTTTCCCTGCAAAAATGAAATGGCAGGCCAGATGCTGTCCACTCAGGAAACCAGCAAACTGGCTAGGATGGCTAACAAGTTTCACTGGGTCTTTCCTACAAAATGTAAATATTTTACGTTTGTGGTCTTGTCTCTTGTATCTTTTAAACTTGCATATTTCAGCAAAGCTGGCAGGTGACCCAGGCAAAGATTCAGTTTCCTTCCTCAGGAACTGTGGGATCTTTATTGTGTTCTATGGGAGCTCCAGAAAATCACCTTAATGGCAAAAGGCCATAGTTTCATAGGGAAGCAGAAGAAACTGTGTTCTCTTAACACATGGGAGCTTTGATAAGGACTTCATGTCTGCAAGCCTAATATAAGTCAGGGGTACCCTTGTGAAGATAACAGCAGACCATACCCTGTAGTGGGAATTTGTTTCCACCAACAGTTTTGGACTCTTAGGGTGTGGCTTCCATGTGTGGTCATTATCCCTTAAAAGGAAGAGGGATAGACTGATTCTTCTCAAGTTTTGGACTCTTAGGGTGTAGCTTCCATGTGTGGTCGTTATCCCTTAAAAGGAAGAGGAATAGACTGATTCCTCTCACCCCAGTTCACACTAAGTTCAAATTCTTCCGATTGGGAGCCAGTCCAACCTACTATGGGAAGAATACACACCCTTCACCCTTGCTTTCCATTTCCTGTTGTTCCTACATTATATCATGCAACTAGCATTTGACAAACCCAGAAGCATATGAAAGATGGTCCCACCTTGATTTTGAGGGAGTCGGTGTCATAGGGACTTGGTGTGAAATCAGTGTGCACTCTGGCACGGCCACAGAATGGCCCTGAGTAGGGACTGTCATCATCCAGTCGAAAACTGTCCCTGTTACTCGTTCCATCTGAACAGCTTGTTATTCCACCTGGTGAAGGAAAGGTTAACAGTTCTTATCGACACTTCTTAGCCCCCTACACCTTGTCTAGACCTGGAGCAATGGATGCTAGTCTTATGGAGCTGCTCATCACTCTGCCTCAGTGACCCGCTCTCCTCAGCTAGTGGTGACTCTTTCCCTGCCAGTCTGAATTCTCCCCTCACTCTGATTCCAATACCATCTCACTTTGGAGTCTATGATATGATACATCAAAAAGGGCATTAAGAATGCCCACAGCTCACAGACCCCAGTCTGACAGCTGGGAAACCAGCATAAGACTGAACCAGACCCCCTGAATGTAGGTGTCAGCTGGGGGACCTGGGCAACCTATGGGGCCTCTGGCAGTGGAACCAGTATTTATCCCTAGTACACGAATGGGCTTTGGGAGCACATTCCCTATGGAGGAATGTTCTCTCAGCCCAGACACATGGGAGAGGACCTAGGTCCTGCCCCAAATAATGTGACAGACTTTGATGATCCCCCATGGTAGGCCTCACCCTCCCTGAGGAATGGATGGGGGTTGCGATGGGGAATTGGTGGGGGAAATGAGAGGATGGGAGGGAGAGGGAACTGGGATTGGTATGTGTGATAAGATCGTTTTTAATTTAAATAAAAATTAATTTTAAAAAAGAATGTCTGCTAAATTGGAGCAAGTTATAGGGTCAAACTTTGACCTAGATATTTTCATACTTGAACACTAAGAGAATTTGATAGTTGTAGTTTAATCATTATGTGTTATTATTGATCAGAAATGGTCAACACATAACATTTCAGAGTTCCCTACAACTTACATAATTGTAAAAAAAAAAAAAAGTCCTCCCTAAATTCTGATTGTGTGCCAAAGGCCAGGAAAGAGAAAAATTTTTGCTTATAAAAGGTGATGCTTTTGCTCGTCATGAGGTGGGGAGGAAGATTGCCCAAATGTCTGAACTTCCAAGTTATCCTAAACTGCCTGGATGCTTGTTTTCTGGTCCCCTTCCTTTCTGATCTTGAATTTCAGGTGTAAGGAAACAAAATGGAACAAAGCTAACTGAAGGAATCATTCCATTTTCCTCCAGTTTGTTTCCTTTTCGTGGTGTCAGTTCTGTCACCAAGGGAAATGCCTCCTTGTATCTCCCACACACTCAGTCTCCTCAGGTTTTCCTTCAGCCCGGCACTTTGCTGCTAGAGGAGGAAAAGCTATAGCATATTCACTACCATGCATTAGGAAATGAGGTAAAAACCCTTCAGGACGTTCTACATCGTGTAAGAACAGAAATATAGCACGTAAGTGGAACACTATCTCCGCATGCCTCTCTTCTAGTTGCATGTGTGGGGGCAGGCTTTGCCTCATGGGTTGGAGTAATAAAATTCTTCCCACGTTCAGTATCACAACTTGAATTTGAAAACTTTCAGCAAAAAATGGATACTTATGAAATCTGAATCACACCCCACCACACACCACACCCTCCCCCCCCACACTACATCCTTCAAATGTTTACTTATGAAATCTGAATCACACACACACACACACACACACACACACACACACACACACACACCATCCTTCAAATGTTTCTGCCTTAATTTTCACCACAAAAAATGTTCTAGAGCTCATATGAATAAAATTGAGGATGTTCAAAATATCTGCTCTTTGTGAGCCATCTTGAAATAACAGTAGTTGATTTAAAAGGAAAATAAATTTGCAGTGACTTTGAAAGTCATGAAGAGACTGGAGGAAAGATAGCAGTTTACATATAAAAGACACAAGGCACCGCCCTGCCAGTACTTTCTTGCAAGTATTGTAGAAAAAAAAATCACTGAGTCTTGAGTAATATTCTGCTTACACAAATATCAATGTTGACTCAGCAATCCTTGTAGTTGCCTACTCATCTTCTTTCCGTGACATATCTATCAATTCATTACTTCGGTCTCTCCTTACTAATGGTAAATGTGAGTGACAGAATTGAGGCAAATGGCCTGCACTGTGCAGAAAATCCGGAAACTATTAGAAAGAAAGGAAGGAAGAGGGGGAGGCAGAAGAAGAGGCAGAATGAGAGAGGGAGGGGGGAAGGGACAAAGACAAAAAGAAAAGGAGCAAAGAAGGGACATAGAGGAAATATAAGGAACCAAATTTTACTTATTTTAAATAATTTTATAATTTTTGACTCAACGCTAGGTTTCCTGGGCATACAATTTTGGTATCACGTTTTATTACTTAGCCCAACTTTTAAGGCATTTTCACAAGAGCCCTGCAGAATATAGCCTCAAAGTATTTTATGCTATGTATCACAATCAGTTACTCCATGTAGACTCAATGTATCCAACCTTTTCAACTTCTCTGTTATAAAATGTTTGGATCTTTGCTTCTAATCTGATAAATAACATCAGCGTGATCATTAGTTGTTTTTTAATTAGTTTAACCCAGGCTTCATTTCTTAGATGAAACCCCTTATTCGTTAACCTTACTTGATGAGCTCTGCCCACTGTAGAGGCTATCCATTGAGTCGCTGGCTTTGAGAGAGATCTTCTCTGTATGTGTTCCAATCATGGGATCACTGTTACGATATGGGAGGGCTTCCTCTCCATTTTCCTCCTCCTTGAGAAGAGAACATATCAGAGGTTAAGGGTGCAGATCAGATTTCCATGGAGATGTTCAATGTGTTCACCAATTCTACAAGCAAGACACATTTAAACAATAAAACACTCATGAATACATCAGCATAATATATGAGGGTCATTAATCTTCAGTTCATTTTCTAGGAAAACACTTTAGAGGATACTTGGAAAAATTCCCTAGATGAGACATCGTTTATTGTGGAATTCAACTGCAATTATAATGGCCTAGTTTTGAAAATAAAGATGAATATCATATCAAGACTATTTAATCAGAAATGTTAGATGTATTGGCATCGTTGCTTTTTCTGTTGAAGTGCAGTTACTTCTTCATGTTCTCCCTCTTATCTGTTTGCCACCATTGCTAATCCTTTGAGATCTGATACTACAGGTTTAAACTCTGCGCATTTGTTTCATGTCAGTTATTTGCACGCCACCAGATCACCAGATATGAATAAAACATGCTCACTTTGCAATTCTAAAGCAAGGCTTATCTCAGGAGCTTTACAAATCTCATACTGTGCTTGCCACCTAGTCAAGTGAAAAGCAAATCTTGCATAAAATTAGAAAAGACAGACAATTTCAAAACAAATTACATTTTCTTGAAAACATTTCAAATGCTTGCCATTTTTAGAAAGCTTGGACAAAGTCTATGAATTTCTTAATACTCATCATATCGTAATTCAATAGTCTTATTTTTGAGAATTACTGAGCATTGATAAAACTTCATAATAAACATAGACTTAGTTTGATTCTCTGCTTTTATCTATTCTTTATCCATTCAATCATTCAGGAAAGTTTTATCAAGCACAGCCTAGGTACTTGCCTAGTTTCTAAAATTTGTGGATACTCTAATTAGCAAGATCACAGAGTAAAGGGGTTTTGGATCTAATACATTATGTTCTAATCTAAATGGACTGGGCATACTGTATAAGCTATGTGTTTATATGACTATAGGGGTTGCACATATGTATATGGAAGTATTAGCATGAAACATGCAAGTACTGTGGAGATAGGCTGTATAATGTGAGAGAATTAGTAAATTGATCAAAAATGAGAAAGGTTAGTTGATTTAAGCAAAATGAATTCCAAAGACTTCAACTAAAAGGTAACAAATGCCCAGAATCTATCTGAAGATGTATTATGATATCCTTTTTTATAATATGTAAGCCTGAATTACGGGAAAATAGCACTTTTATTTTCTTCTAAATGTACTTTTCTAAAATAAGAACAAAATTGAATTCGTAAGTAGCCTTAGGTGTACAGGTCAATGTCATGAGAGAAAGGAGGGTATTACATACTGACAACTCAGAGCAGTGATTGAGAGCCAGTTCATGAAGAACGCCGTAGACTACTGTGATGGCCTTGGGAATGTGACACCTATATCTTCATGTGTATTGTGAGAAACACAGGAACTTTGGTGTTGGACACTGAATGGTTTGATTCCATATTGTCATCTCCAAAAACTCACACGTGCATTAAAATTTCACTGTGAGATATTGTAAAGGGAAACTTAATCTGACTTTGATATTTAGAGGTAATGGCATTTGGGAGATGATTGGGACTGGATAAGGTCATCATTATAGAGACCCATGATTGGGTATTGGTGGCTTTACTAGCAGAGGGATACATACTAAAACATCTACATACGTATTGTATTTGTCATTGCATGGTAGCCTCTGTTTCCTTGTAACCCTGTCTTGGACCATGTCTGTGACCCAAAATCAGGTTGTTTGTGAATAACCAGTCTGTTGTTTATTGCCATTTGCAACAGAAATATGACTAATACACTCTAGAAGCTCCAGTTATCCCTCTTTGTATCTACCGCTGTGTTTGCACTGAAGCCAGACCCACCACTGCCTCGGTAGCTGAATACTTATGAATAACATTGGTACCTATTCTGCTAGGAGAAAAAAGAGCTCTTCTACTGGGAAGTTTTAGTTCAAGAATTCCCCACAAATCTGGCCAAAACATTCTTAGAAAAGAGAAACTTTGGTTCTTTTCTCCTCCCCCTCTTACAGATGTCAGATTTGCACTGTCATTGCAAGCTTATCATATGCAGTTACCCTTTTTTGTTTTTTTTTTTGTTTTGTTTTGTTTTGATTTTGGCATGGCATCTTTTGAGAGATGTTTTTTGTTTGTTTTGTTTTTTTCTTTTTATTTACATTAGAAACAAGCTTCTTTTACATGTCAATCCCACTTCCCTCCCTTCCTCTTCTGCCTCCCCACAGACCCCCTATCCCAATTCCTTTCTGCTCCCCAGGGTGAGGCCTTCCATGGGGGATATTCAAAGTCTGTCATATCATTTGGAGCAGACCCTAGATCCTTTACAAGACATCAACGTTTTAATCTGGGGCCTTTCGGGGATCTTTTCACACTTTCTTATCCAGAATGGATCTTACTGGAGAGATAATAGACAGAACTTAAGTGGTGGTTGTGGTTATGCAGTCAGGGGAAGCTAGTGACTTAGTTTAAATCAGAGACAATTTGAATAGAAAACAAATAGAATATTCTTTGGATATTAGAAACAGGAGAATAGTTATTATTATATTATGATAATTATGTTCAAACTTGAATTTGGAGTGATTCTTTTTCTCCCTTACTCTCGTTGATATCTAGAACCATAAAAGTTTTGTCTTTTGCCACTGAAACTAATGGATGAGAAATAAGTTTTTTTCTCAAATAAATGCTGAGAACTTCAATATTTTTATATATTAGGTTGTGGTATCTATTGGACATCTCTGTGATAGCATCAAAATGAGTAGTCAGATGTAGTTCTTTGTTTTTACTCTTTTGGCTTTTGCAGGGGGGTCACCACCCAGCTCCCAAATAAATACACACAGTCTTACTCTTACTTATGAATGCCCGGCCTAAGCTTGTCTTGTTTCTTGCCAGCTTTTCTTAAATTATCCAGACTACCTTTTGCCTCTGGATTTTATCTTTCTTTTACTTCTATAAATCTTACTTTCACTATTACTCCATACCTTGCTATGTAGCTGAGTGTCTGGCCCCTGATGTCTTCCTTTCCTTGTTTTATCTTGATCCTTCCTCCTATCCGCCCAGACTTCTTTTATTCTCTCTGCCTGCCAGCATTGCCTGTCCTTTCTCCTGCCTCACTATTGGCCTTCAACTCTTTATTAGACCATCAGGTGTTTTAGACAAGCAAAGCATCACACCTTCACAGAGTTAAACAAATGCAGCAGCCAGCCAGTTGATTATAGCAATCAAGTGAAGAAGTCATGTCTAGAGATACTTTGGAAAACAATAGTGTAAGAAAGTCTAAGATCACAAGAGAGAAGAGGGTATAGTTAATGGACTGTCCAAGACTTTAAGAAGCCTTGGGGAAACTTAATATTTAAAGAGATAAAAACAGAAGCAAAGCCAAGAAGAATTCTGTGAAAGAGAAAAGTTCAAAGAATCCTCAAAGAAAAAATCAGGAAGTTTTACATGTAAACATGTCACTACTTTTGCCTATAGCTAAGGAGTAAAATGTCATCTTCTTTGACATCACAGAAGCTACTACTGCTGTGACAGAATGAATAGTGGAGATGGAATTCAAGTAGAAGAGGGCTGAAAAAAAAAGCATAAGACATACAAATGAACAGTATAAAGCTAAAAGTCTAGACATACAACTTCATATTTATGATCTATATGCTTATAACAATATGGAGTATTATGGTCAGCTGACTTCAAGTGTTGCTGCCAAGACAATATAATGGAGAAAGAAAAGTCTTCAATGAATGAAGTTGAGTCAACTAGATAGGTACATGACAAAGAAGGAAGTTTTATTTTTCTGAAACAACACATAGCATATCTAACTCCAAATGGGTCATAAACTAACAGAGCTAATATTATAAAGCCATTAGGAGAAAATGCAGAAGTAATCTTCATTATATTAAGTTAAGCAATATTTCAAGTATGATGCCTAAAGCAAAATAACAAGAAAAACAGAAAAATTGAGCTATTATAAAATTATAAACATTTGAGGTACAAATAATACTATAAAAATAAAATACAATGCACAGGATAATATATATATATATATATATATATATATATGTATATATATTCACATATCCCATAAAAGACTCATTCAGAAGTTATATAAATATTTAAAACTTAATAAATGGCAATAACCAAATATTAAAAAACTGACAAAATATTTAAAGACATTTCTCCAAACAGAAATAGATACAACCAACAAGCACATTAAAATTTCTCAGTATCATCCATTATAAGAGAAATGTAAATGAAAAATTACAGTGTGAGTCTACTTTATCTTCACTAGTGATTGATACTTAAAAAAGTACCATGAGCTGAAATAATATAGGAACATTGGAGCCACTTATTTTTTTAATATTGGGTAAGTAAAATTATGCATAGTTTTGGGCAACCAGTTGCCATGTCTTCACAATATTTGATACAGAATTACCATATATCAAATAGAAGCAAAAATAGTTTCATACAGAGAATCACACACGTGTTTATAGAAGCATTAATCATAATATGCCCTAAGTAGAAACAGCCCAAATACCCGCCAGTAAATGTGGAAAAATGTAGATTATTTATAAATGGCATAGTATTTGGCAATAAGAAGAAATGAATTCCAGATGCTTGCTACAACTTAAACAGTATACTATTCTTGACATGCTAGATGTGTGGATTTTCTTCTTTTAAAATGGGAGCAGTAATCCTTTAAGAGCCATACAACTGGGCCAACCAAATGGCTCACTGGGTAAAGGCACTTGCTGAACAAGCCTGAGGACTTGAGTTTGATCCAAAAACCCATGTAAAAGTTGAAAGGGAGAATAGACTAAAAAGTTGTTCTTTGATGCCGGCATGCACCCCATGGCACTCACGTGCATGAGAATACACTGGTTTTTTTTTTTTTTTTTTTAAAGAACTACAGAATTTCTGAGTATGACAGTAGAAGGAAAAAATATGTCTAAGTGCTTCATAAAGGTATATATATATATATATATATATATATATATATATATATATATGTCAAAATAAACTTACCTTTTCCTCAGAAAGGGCCTTGATGTATTTTTTCCCCACTTTTTTCTTCATTGTCCATGAAATAGCCCTCATTTTTTTACCTAGATTTCCTCCAGTATTTGAAGTTTTATTTTGTTCTTCGCTTCCATTTGTTAGTTCCCCTTCTAAAACCTAATGTAGAATTTTTTTAACAAAAGATGAAATGATAAGGGAGAAAAGATAATTTGTTTGAGTCCAGTGTTTTTCAGTGCTAGGGATTTCACATGCTAGGCAAGGGTACCACACCTAAGCCCCGTGTCCAACCCTAGGAGCCTTCACTGAGAACCCCCTTAAAGAGAATCAAATTTGAATTTTCTGTTCATTTTGTGCTGTACGCATTCTGGACATAACACATATCATTACACATTTACAGATGGCTACCTGCATAAGAAACTTGCTTGAAAGTTCTCATCTTTGCACGTGAAATTCTTGGAGAATTTCAGCTATGAATTAGTAGCTTTACTAAACAATCATTTTAGTTCTTGTTTTGTAGTTGATAAATACAGAAGTTACCATCAGGTAGCACGCGTGATTACAGCTCCCCTCAAAGAGATTGGCGTGGTCATAGTGGTTCTTAAAGAAGTTTGGAAGTGAATTAAATCAATTGAAATCTACAATGTTTTCAGCTGACCAGGTGCTTATGCATGCTCATTGTTCACTTTAAGTAGTAATAAATAGTATCTGGCTCAATCCACTGATAAAAAAATCCTCACATGATTAATAGATTGCATATATGTAATAATTAATGCTTTTATTTGGTTTCCTGTTAACTTGTGCTCATTAATAATCTTCGTGATAAGACAGTGATTTCTTCTCTACTCAGAGCAAAACAAGTGTTGGTGTTTGCCTACAAAGCTAAACAGCATACCATAAATTAATATGGTATGATATAATGAATGATGGAAAATGTCTCTGTAGTGATCTTAAATGCTTTAATATGAAAGCGTAGCCACATAATTAACATTATTATTAATCAATATTATGTTTATAAAATGTGTTACATCATATAGAATCTATGTAAAATAAAAATGTCTTTATGAACTTATTCTTTTCAAAACAGCATCTTCAGTATGTGGGAACAGTTTGTTTAAATGAGTCATTTGTGATGATTCTGACTCAGATACATAATAAAAGTTGACATAAATTGTAACAAACTATTGTCGTGACTGTGCATCTCCTTTACTGTATAAGGTTCTCATCTCAGTTTGGACATACTTTTGCCACGGGTACCTCTAGATAGCCACACATTTCATAAGCTATCCAGGCTTCAATTAATATATAGTAACAGGAAAGAAGTTGTCTGTGTTGTCATTGCCATGCTTGTCCACACTGCCCATTGCTTTACCTGATACGTTCATCTTCTCTACCCTGATTTTATCTGAAAATTTGTTTGCTCATTCAGTGGCTATCTGCATTTCCCATATGATTCATATTCCATGAGAATAACGGCTTTCTCTGGATACTTCATTCTAGTCCCAAGTGTACTTCAAGGCGTGTAAACTGGTGCTCAGTATCCTATAAGTAAATGAAATTCCTAACGTGGAAATTTAAGGTATTCTTCCTCTCCCGTAGAGGACATGTTTGGATTAGATGTTCTCGCTACCTCAGATGTGCACAATGAACTATGAATGTCATCGGCTTTAGTACTGCCCACCATGCTTGACAGGTGGATGGCCTGTTATCCCAGAATATAAAAAAAAAAAAAATGATGGGAAACTTCTGATTAGTGAGCTCGAATATTTTAATATAAGAGTTTAACCACATAGTTAACATCATTATTAATCAATATTATATTTTGCTTCATATCTTACCCCAAATTGCCTATGATAAATATGAATGGACATCCAATTTAAGCCCTCATTGCACATTATTAATTTCTACATTCAAGGTTATAAAGGCAGAGTCTTTGCTTAATTCAAAATACCAGAAAAAAATATAATTCAGAAGCACTCAAATTTTAGTTAGCCTTTTTCTTCTCTATTCTCTTTGCTTAAACTTTCTTGTTTTAATTGTAAAATTATTTTACCAACTAAAATAAATATGAAATATATTATTTAGTTAAAACTGATGTTGTTACTATTATTTAAGCTTCAAATAATGTAATACAAGTACTGCTTGGTTTTTCCCATCATTACTTATAGAGGCTTCAGAGAAACTTTCTCTATATATTTTAAATTAGTTTTCTTTTCTGTGAAGTTAGCCCCATAGCCTGAACTAGATTTCTGTTTAGAATTTACAGTTCTGTTATTGTTACCATCTTTTTAAGTGATATTGCTGCCAGACTCCAGCCCTATGAAGTAGGCATTTTCATCTTTCATTGCAATAGTACTCTAGAGTAGCTAACAGAAACCCTGTCATTGTGTAGGTATCTGTGAAAAGGATGAAAAAATGATACTGGATTTCTGAAAAATGGGAAACTACTTTATCAGCTCTGCTAAATGCTTTAGAAAAATTACAAGGCTATTACCACTTATTCCAATGAATGAACTTGAGATATTTTCATAGGTTTGTTATAAATGAAATAGCAGAACACTGCTATTTATGGTTTTAGAGTTAAGAGTTTATATAAAATACTAAGTGAAAATAAAGTCACACAAAGAAGTCCCCCTCTGTGTATCTACAAATGTGTATACACACATACATAAACAAGTGCATGTATGTATATGAGTACATATGTAATTATATATAGCCACCCATAAATATGTAGAGAGTAAGAAGTGATTGCAGTGGTTGCTATTTCCAGTCAATTTAACAAGATCTAGAATCACTTAGGAATTGAACCTCTGTGCCTACTTGTGCAGGATGATTTTGATTATATAGGTGAGATGGGAAGAGCCACCCACACTAGCTGGGCTTTACCTAGCATGCATTCGTTGTTCTCAGCTTCTTGGCTATATAAGTGATATGACCTGCTGTTTTAAGTAAGTTCCTTCAGTTTTGACTTTCCCACCATGGTGACTGTCATCCTTGACTGTGCTCTGAAATAAACCCATTCTTCCTAGAGTTGCCTTTGGCAGGGTATTTCATCACAACAGCAGGGAAAGAAACTCAAACATGTGTGTGTGTGTGTGTGTGTGTGTGTGTGTGTGTGTGTGATGATATATATGTATATATATAATATACAATATATATTATGGTATATATTACATATCTTATATATTACCTAAATTGATAAAATATAATAATGCATAAAGGTATATCTAAATGGATATATTAAAATATATGAAATGTTATTATCATTTTATCTAGAATGTTCCTTGCTGAAATAAAAATAATGTAGATAATAGATGCATCTGTATATAAGATTTATATAACCTGTTTATCTAAAAGGAATTGTTAGTGAGTTCACTGAGTTAGGGTGAGGTTGCAGATTAGGATTAATAATGAATATATGCTGCCTTCTTAGTTTTCTCAGTGTGACTTCTTCCTATTATTTAACTAGTTGCTGGACCTTTCCTTAGTTACCTATCCCAGGTGGCTCCCAGTAAATAAGATGGCATAACAGAGTGACAGATGTTAAAGTCAAAGAAGAGACTGAGTCCTCCCTTTGTCATTTGTTAACTCTGTAGTGGAAAATCAATTATGCTCAGTGGACAGATATATTCCTTCAACAGTAAAATTGAAACACCAATAGTTCCCAAATAGATAAGTAAATTGGTAGCACTATATTTCCTTTATGACAAACATTCAATTAAACATAGCTATCACTGGTACTGCTATTACTTATTATTATTATTATTATTATTATTATTATTATTATTATTATTATTATTATTATTATTATTATTATTATTATTATTATTATTATTATTATTATTATTATTATTATTATTATTATTATTATATTACTTATTATTATTATTATTATTATTATTATTATTATTATTATTATATACAAAACTTCATGTTATGTTGAGTTCTGCTTTGACCATACACAAAGTGTGCACAAGAAGTGACTCATCTTAGCAGAATGACCAGCATGCCCATTTCACAACCTGCATGCTGTCAACTCATGCATGTGCATTGCTTTAGCATAGAAACGACTGGGGGACTTGAAATTGTCAGTGTAACTTTGAATTATAATGATCTTTAAATTGTAACTACTTTGAAATTCATGGCCAGCCCAAATATTGAATAGGGTTCTTAGATAGCTGTTTACTGCTAAATACCCAACAGGGAACTAGGCCCCAATTGCTCATTTTTTCAAAATTCTGTGTATGTCTACATGTCTTGAAAAATGTATCTAATTTCCTTACCTAGCATTATAAACGTTCATAATATGCTATCATTATGTTAATAAAGATATAATAAAATACTAACCTCAGTTGAGTCATCAGATTTTGATATGGAATTATTCCGAAAGCGATCAAAATTCCCAAAACTGCTGCTGCGCTGTAAAATTGGAAAAGGAAAGAAACTTAAGGTTTGTGACTTTCACAACTGAAAGTAATAAATTTATTACAGCTTCTCAGAAATGCATTTTGAATACGGAAGCTATGAAAAGTCCTTCTCTGGACTCTCAAAAGTCATTGAAGTCAATGATATAAATATCATTCATATTTTTATACTAAAGCTTGCTAAAATGTCTTCTTTTGACTTGTGCAATAGTGGTGAATACCTTGGTTAATTTTTCAAAATTTATTTACAGTATTAGCTTCATGACACAAGCAACTGAAGCCTCTGAAGATTCTAAACTGAGCTTTCTTTAAATAACATGAACACTAACTTATTTATACTAGCAAAGGACAGGCAGTATTTGCAAACAAAGCCAACAACCAATAAAGATGCAACAATGAAACAAAGGAAACGTATGAGTGATAATCCTTCTTGTGCCTCCTAGGATCAGTTTGCTTTAAAACAAAATTAACACAAGCACATTTCCCAGTAGCAAATTTTTTTAACTTTAACTTCTCTGCCGGAAATGAGAATGAGAGTGCGTAGATGTGGGCCTATTAATAAATTGAACTCTGACGGATGCACAGTGTAAGCTTGCGTGTAATTTCTTCACATTTCTCATGGACTTGCACTGAGACCCACTTTCCTTCCCCCATTGCGCAGGTCAACTTATTCCCTCACTGATTTCAAGGACAAGCTTCACATGTTGTTAGCAAAGTAAAATTTATATTCTTTTGCAAACTCACTCTAGGTAGGTAATTAGAAATAATCTTAAAATGCTTCAAAGTAAATGGCTGTCCTTTATACATTTTTCAAAATTCTTCAAAATCACTGATTCAAAAAATTGACTTTCTCACTATCAATTTGATTTTATGCATTGTTTAGGATGGTGGTATCTAATTTTACTGTGTAGGTGTACATGCAAGTGTGTGTGTGTGTGTATACCTCTAATTCCAAAAAAAAGGTATCTTGTCCTAAGGATTATATATCATTTCAAGGAAATCTACCTTAGAAATGAATAGATTTTACTGAAAAGGTAACCTAGTAATTTGAAAAAAAAGCAAATACCAGTAGTCAGTAATCTATAGAATTAGTTCTTGTCCACACAGAAATCAGAGCTTACTTTAATCAATCTTTGCCAGAAAATCCTAGTCCTTAGACTCATTTTTAGAAACATCTCTCACCACCACCGCCTTTAAAACTCCATATTTCCCTTGTAAAACCCATTTAATGAGAAAGATGCTGGACATGTGACTAGTGGCTAGCCGAATAGACTCTGTGCTCCAGAATATTACTCCAGAAATGATGGCTGTGGCAGACAAAATACTTTTTTTTTTCTGACTTGCCTCCCCTGTTGAACAAGCTCAGAGTTCTTCATGCTTGGGGTGAGAGGAAAGCTGAGATGGCTGAAATTGTGTTCCATATGGGAAAATACAAAGTCATCTCACACAGAGCTTACCAAACTAGAGATACACCTAGGGCACAAATCCACTTTGAGTTGCCTGGAAGGGGTTCCCATCAAACCATCATTGATCTGAGGTCTGAGGAAGTAAGGAAACTATTGTCCTGTATTGGACATCAAGGACATCTGCTACTCTGTTGTATACTTGATACACTCTTATGGCCTATGGCAATTTAGTAGCCTATATATGCAGCCTGATGCTGCCTATTACATATTAATGAGAGTTAGAAAGTGCCTCCCACTACTAGATAATGGGGCCTGTTGCACGGGAGGGCACAGAGTAGATTGACTTCAGCATTTCTCTACACTATATTCTTCCATTAAGTAATCAGTAGCCACCACCTTTTAAAATTAATTCTGCCCCCATTACCAATATAGAAAAGGAATAATGGTGTTAAAAAGATTTAAAAAAAAAAGAAACAACCTACTACTTTGGGTCTTGTCAGTCCTAGCAGAACTAATCCCCTAACAACTTTAAGGCAGATGAGTGTGTCTGTCAATTCTAAGATTCTCCTATGAAGTAAATTTCAGTACTTATTTTAAGGTTATTTAACGTATTTTATTATCCAGTCTGAAAGTCAGATAGTTTCATAGCATATTTATAGGTTATAGCTTATGTTAGAAAGGGGTGAATACCTATTATGAGGTATAGACAAGGGATGGATTTACAAAGCCTGCTTCCTACATAGTATTCTTTAAGAAACGAGAATATGTTTGAATATTCACAAATTTGTATTGTAGCATAATCATTTTTCAGATACTAGAAGCTCCCATCAAAATAAGGCAATTATATGAATAACTGTCTCTGGAAAAAACAGCTTGACACTAGGATGCTTGATGCCTTGACAACCCACACACATGCCTTCCACATAGCTAAGGGCTATACTGGACATTTTCAGTATCTGGATAGATTGTAGCCCAAAAAATGCTATTTTAGTTTGAGTATGAGTAACACATGTAATATATTATGAAATAATTGCAATATATCTTAACAGGTCAAAATTAATTGTTTTTTATTTTAAAATATTTATTTTTCATTTTACATACCAACCCAAGTTCCCACATCCATCCCCTTCTCCTGCTCCCCCCCACTTCCCCCTTCCCACACCCCACTGAAAGGTAAGCATACAGAAGAAACACAACAACAGCAAAGGTAGAGTTAGAAGGAAAATATCAAGAATGAGAGAGTTAGAAGGAATTAGAAGGAAGACATCAAGAATAAAGATACAGTTAGAACAGTCGACCTGATCTAGTGAGAGCATGGAGACCCTTGTCATAAAGCTGGGGAAATAGCATTGGACCAAACCAAGCCCTCTGAATGTGGGTGCCAGCTAGGAGGTCAAGACAGTCTATGGGACTTCTAACAGTGGAGCCAGTCATTATCCCTAAAGCATAAATGGACTTTGGGAGCCCATTCCTTATGGAGGGATACTATTGCAGCCCAGATACAGCAAGGAGGGCCTCGGCCCTCCCCTAAACCATATGGCACCCTTTCAAGGTCCCTGGTGGAGGACCTCACTATCCCTGGGGAGGAGTTGGGGGTTGGGTTGGGGGCATTGGTGAGGAACACAGGAGGATGGGATGGTGAGGGAATGGAGGGGATAGATAAGCAAATATGAGTAGTAATTAAAGAATTTAAATAAAATAAAAAAGAAATTTCCATATCAAAAAATAAAAGTAACTTCAGAACTCTAAAAACAAAAAAAGAAAACTTCAAGAATGAGATAGTCCAAAGGAATTAGAAGGAAAACATCAAGAATAAAAGAAGGAAATCACAAGCAAATAGAGAATACAGAAGAAGAATAAAGACAAGGTTTGAAGGAAACCATCAAGAGTGTGTGGGTGTCATTTTCTGTTTATCACCTCAGATAAAATGTCAGAACTCCAGACTCTGGGGATTCCCTTTGAGGCTGGCTGTGCTGCTAAGAGGCTGGTCCCCCAGACAGCAAAACCTAAGAACCTCAGTTGTTACAGACTGTTATTTCATATGCAAATCACAGCATTCTGAGACATCAATGGTCCTTCTGGAGCAAGAGACTGGTGTAAGGGTCACAACCTGCATAAAAATTAAAGCAACAACCACACCAAACCTCCTTTAGCATTCTCCACACTGAGGTGGTCCTCTCTGCCTGCCATCCTCACAGAAGTTTAGTCCAGTCTTTTTTTTTTTTTTTTTCCAGATCAGCTGTTCTCTGAACAGGTTGGAAGGATAAAACCAAGTAGGCTTTTACTATCACTCACTTTTATGTATTATGTTCATGAAAGAAAGCCATGGAGTCTCTTTTAAAACTATGAATCAACCTTTTGCCCCAAACCAGGAGATTTAAACTTATGTTTCTTTCTTACCAGCTACCAGCTTTTAGGGTTGTCAGATAAAATCTTATCTACTGGTATGACTTTAAAATTTGAGTAAGGCACCAGTAGAAATGTCAATCTATTTCAAAGGAAATATCTGCATATTTGAGTCAGACACCCACAGTATTTTAAAGTATACTGGCAAATTAAAAATTATACATACTTACTGCCAACCAGCTCTCACATCTAAATATTACTCGTAAGACATTTGTTAGTACCCACTCTTCAGATCAAAATCCTGTTTAAGCTCACCATAAATATTGTATGATAGAATATGTTAAATCTCAACAAGCCTGTCATCCTTTATCCCTAAGCATTCGAGGATTTAATTGTCCTGGATGACTCAGGTGTTAAGATGTTGGAGAGTGAGAATCCAATTTAACTCACTTAAAATAATCTGTTAGGATTGCCTCAGTGTTAAAGAATTATAGTGTCATGTGGTGCCAATGGAAGACGGTGTGTGGGTTGTCAGGAAACTTCAAGCAAAAAAAGCCAAAAAACAGAACTGCAAATTCATGCCTCCAAACTAACATTACAACCTTGTATGAAGGCAATGCAGAGCTGAACAAAAAGATCAAATCAAAACAACACAAATTAGGGTTATGGATATTTTCAGTGTGCCTTTCGAGGAGCCAAAGTTAGCTGGCCCCTCCCCTCCCTCATTAACTTCATAGCAACTGTAGAATGCATGAAGGGTGGCCAGATACCTGTGCTGCCAGTGATCTCTAAAGTTTGCTCCAAATTTCCACACGGAAACTTCTGGAATTTGATGTGCCACTAAAATGTTTTCTGTACATGTTTGCACTCCCACCAGCAATGAAGTGTTCCCCTTTCTCCACATCCTCTCCAGCATAAACTGTCATTTATTTTTGATTTTAGCCATTCTGACAGGAGTAAGATGGTATCTCAGAGTTGTTTTGATTTGCATTTCCCTGATGGCTAAGGATGTTGAGCATTTTCTTATGTGTCTTTTAGCCATTTTAGATTCCTCCACTGAGGAATAAACAGTGTCAAACTAAAAATTAGCTACTAGTTTTAAGTTCATATACCATGGACAGACTGTTTCAGAGCTTTGTGAGGAGCAATATAGAGAAATGTTCACAAGTCATCTCTAGGCTTAAGAACTCCTGGATACCTATGTGCACAGTGGTTACAGGATGTAGGTAGCGCTTGGGAAGAT